AATTACTCTTTAAATAAGTTTAACAACTAATTTTAAAATAATGAAATATAAAAATTCCTAAAAAGATCAGAATATTGATATTAACTCAAAACCAGGATTATTTCTTATATAATTTTAAAAAGTAATTTTAAAATAACAAAATTTGAAAATTTCTGAAAACGCCCAGGCCTAATTCCAATCTGTTCGGTCAGGATTCGATTATATTCGAAAGTACCGTTTACCTTTCCCAACGCACTTACGAAGACTTCGAGTCTATCTCGTCTAGCCTCGAGACTACCTAAAAGCACCGTTCTTCTTTTTCGACGTATTCACGAAGCGTTCGAACGCATCTACATAGTCAGATTCGAGTCTGCGCGCAACATGCTTCATCCCATCTCTGCGAGTGACGCACCCCGCATATTTTTATCACGCTCATCGTATTGCAGGATCAGCGTCGAGTGCGATGCGCTTGAATAACACATTTTCACCGCAACCACCAACACCACTTTTGCACGGTATTGTCGCGGTTGCACGACGATTAACAGACAGCAAAATGCCGTAGTTCGACTGAATTCGCGTACTGCATTAACTTGGGGGCGATAGGAAGCTGCACTTGGTATTTATCGCTGGCAACTATTCATGGAATGGCACTTGATTGCTTGATCGAAGCTGTTTCGTTGAATTTTCTTGAAACGTAAATTCATTGTTCAAGTAATATTATTTGGCATTCGTTTTGTTGTTTATTTTTACTGTATTTATTATTGTTTGTTTTAATTGATGTTCAGTACTGTTAAAATATAATTTCCATGATAAATTTGATTATATGACAAATAATGGTAATTTTTCTAATACCATTCAATTATTAAAAATAGTTAGAATATAAAACATAATTTGTATTGTATTAATAATAATTAGAATTGGTTAGAATTGATTAAATAGAACAAATTAAATGGAATGTTAATTAGAGTAATTTTTTATACTAAGTTTATGAAGTTTGATTTACTGTGAATATATGTATAAAAATAATAATTTGCGTTTGTGTCTAATTATACTTCTCATATGATTTGGTATGACTAATTATTATGTCTTTTTAACCCTTCCGTTGGGAGAAATGTGTATATATAGTCGGTTCAAACGACATAACGAGATCGTAAATTATTGTACCTCGCGACGGTTCCATTAATACCGAAATGGCACGGTAGATGTCGCTGACATTCGAAACTGTCGGCGGTTTCTATTAGAAGGTACGTAACCTCAAGTAGTGGAACGGAAAACAATTATTGATTAACTTTCGATTTTAGTTCAGTTCATTAATTACCAACAAATCCTATTCTATATTTCGAAAATATGGAAGAACTTAATTTTTCGCTATTAACGATATCCAACAATAGTAGAATGCATTCCAAATTGACACCGATATAGACCAGACTCTGAGTTCTGAGAAACTTCCAAATTTCATTATTTTAAAATTACTTCTTTATGTTATTTGGGAAATTTACGAACGAACACAAATATTTTATGAAACATTTTACGAAAAATGTGAATTAATATATTTGCAATTAAATGATCTATTTGTCACTTTAAGAAATTGCTTGTTATTTATTATGGTTATTTATTACTTGCTTTTAATGAAGCTAGATGGTTTCTTAATATGCAACATCAATATTTATATTATTAATGCTTCTTCTTAACATCATTAGTACGATTATTATTATTAATTTATTGCTAAGTATTTATTCTCAATATCATTTTAGAAATAAATTCTCAATTAAGGAATAAATAAGAATTTCTCAAATAATTATTTCTTTAATTTATTATTTAATTGACCAAATAAAAAACATAATATAAATAGAAATACATTATTTATGAAATAATAATTAACGTTATTTAAACCAGTCATTTTTAAATTACTGAAATAAATTTCATTAAGATCTGAAAATCCAAACTAGTCATATCCTCAATAAATATCTACATTCCTCAACAAACAATTACTAAGTACACCCATTATATTTAATGTTTTTCTAAGTAATATTTATCAAAATCAACTTTCTGTATCAAAATTAATACCATGCATTTTGGAAGCGATTTATAAAGCTCCTTAATATATTTTAAATGAATTGTGTCCAATTTTTTCCTCAACACTTTTAAATTTCCAATAACCTAAAATTACCTTTAGCTTTTATACACGTTCTTTGCCAATCATATTCAGCCATTTTCTATCATGTTTCAATCAAACGATTTCACTAGCCAATCGATAATATTTACTGTCTGATTATGGTTATTCACACGCATTTTTACACACACGCGCACATAGCAATCTTGTAACGTCAGAAATTAAGTATTATACACTGTACTACAATACTTTTGTGCGTCACTGTATATATAGTTTTACAGATACGATATAAACTATGCGAAACTTTCTCAATAAAATGCTTTTTCTCATTTTTAAAATTAGAATTATTTAGATCTCACCTTCACTTAATTACTTTACTTGGATAGGTACTGATATTTGCAGAAAATAATAGGTACACGGAATAAGAAATGCCTAACGTAATAATGTTCGATCCGAACACTTTGAAGATTTAGCTTCAACTGAAGGAAGAAAATTCCGGAACCGTGCTACAATTTGGTCGCGACGATGACCGTTGATGTTTATGTTTTTAGCTGAAACTTGAACGCCTCGATGAGCTGCGTCAAACGTAACGTCCTTGACATTCCCTTCTAGCCAATGTACTAAAATATACGATCCAAACAACCAAAGTTAGTTCCGTTCTGCAGTGAATACGTTTCATATCCAGCCATCGTTCTATTTTGCTTTAAAATCTTATACATTACACGACTCTAAAATTTTATATGAGAATAATCTTGGAAGAAATGTAATTCTTTTCATTCTAAAAAGAGTTTCTTGAAACAGTGCAATTATATTTTGAGAAATTCTTTCATATAACAATTAATTAGCAAAGTATTTAGGTGATCCCATTTAGCTGGATCATATTATACAGTGAGTAAGCGAAAAACGCGGTTCAAGAGCAGTAAGCCTTTAACAGATAATAGTTTCTTTTATTGTATTAGATTAAGTGTTATCTTTAACGCTGTTATATTTATTCTTAGTAATCTCATCGCAACGCTAGCAAACATGTGCAGCAATTTAATACCGGTTATCGAAAGAGTTTGACGTTAGGGTTAATCTAAATGCATGCGTGTATGTATATATAATGCAGCTTTCACGCGAGTTTTAATAAAATTACAGGCTGTGCTGAGAAATTGATAATTATGTCGTGTCGACGAAGTTTATGTTAGCTTTTTGTTCGTGTATTGATGTAAGCAGCTACTAAAAATCGATTTTAGTATGTGGACAAAATTTTGTTATATATATATATGGGTGTATGGATATCTTTTAAATATAATTTTATTTCTTTTTATTTTATTGTTTATTGTTGAAATAAAGACGACAACCTTCTCGTATACTATTTTTTCTTTTCTTTTAAATTATTTTTTAAAATGTTTAAATGAACATTTTGGTCCTATACACATATATTTATAGCAACAATCTTTTTTAAATTTAATTTAATTTTAACAATCTCACGTTTTTAATATGAATCATTAATGATACGAACGGTAAATGAGTTTCTAAAATTTAATTTCTTCATATTTTTGTTAAATTACCTTTTAAGACATTTAAATAAATATTTTGATCTTATATACCCTCACACACTAGAACACCATCACCACTGTGTTTTATTGTCGAGTAGAGGTATGTATTTTATTTTAATTTATTTATTGGGCATTTTCTATATTTAAATTTGTTCATTTGATATATTAAACTTGTTAAAATAATGTTAGATTTATAATAGTAATATTATCATACGTAATTAATTATGTTGGTAATTAAAAATATTACATGAATATTCTGTTATAACCATCATTTTTCGATTAGTATAAAATACAGAAATTATTCATATGGTGTATATTAGTTAGAAATGAAATTAATTTAGAGTATAAAAATTAATATAGTATTTCTAACCGACTTTAAAACCTTAAGAGTCAATATTTACTTTCTACCATAGAAAATTGAGATAATTCAATAACTTTTGCTGATGCATGTGTTTACTCACATGTCTTCTTTCATACTGAACATTTAAGTAAGCACAGGAGATTACAGTGTACAGTAAGATCTTAATTATACGAATTAATTAGTTACAAAGTGAACGGATAATCAAATGACTATAATTATGACCACGTTTTACGTAATTACTAACAATTTACTATCTTTTAATACGTACATATTTGCATAAATATTAATTCATTCGTATCAGATTATGAGATAAGTATATTTTAATAGTTATATTAAATATGAAATTAATATACTAAGTAATTATATTAACCCTCTGCAATTGAATGGCACTACATAAATAACAACATATTTTTATTCAACGGGGTCGAATATTTTAAAATAGTTGTAATTCTTATTCTTTTTAAACAATACATTAACAAAATATTTAAAAAAAAAAGTAAAATAAAAATAAAATAAAGCATAATTCAAATATAATAGCTATACAAAAATGAATAGTTATATTAAATTTCTATTACAGAAGAGTATTAGTATTAAGGTATTGATATACTATTGTAACTAACTAGATTATCAGTTGGTCTATGTAGTTACAGAGCTTGCGTGATGTAATACCAAATAGGACAGAAGTGTGTATTCAAGAACTTTTTTTAAAATTTAATGATGATTATGTTCCATATGAATAACAATCATTTTATCGACGATTTTATCCTGCAAATTTTAAAAATTACTATTATTTTTGGTCTCTGATTATACGTCGTTCTAATCGTACTACGCATGCCCAGTGGCGAAGAATTGCCTATATTAACAACCCTATCGCCATATTAACTTACCACAGTTTCACCTATTTAAACGTGAAACACAAAACAAACACGGAATAAATTTCTTATGAAGCATCCTCAATCAATTTTGCATGATCTAACATATCCTTTGTAATTCACACGAATAAACTGCCGTCTTGACTACTTAATTTACTGTGGAAAAAAAAATGACAAGGTTTATTTTATTTTCACCACGTAATTGCGCTATTATCGTGGGATTCCGGTTTTCGATTCGACCGAAAGCTGGTATTACGGAACGGGCAAGTCAGCAGATGTACCGTTAAGCGATTACTATGCCACTGCACTGCCGCGAGGAATGTGGGTGGAAAGCACCCGTCCCTGCTATTGTCTTTTTCCTTCTGTATGGCTACACCTTTCCTTCTGTGCGAGTATACCGAACGATCTCATCGCGTCTTTCACTTTTTCCGCCAGCCCATTTGCTCTCCCTGTCTTTCCCCTCTCTTTTTCCTTCATGTTCGCTTCGTATTTGTTCACGTTTTATGAATGCTCTTTTTTTACGATTCGAGTTGCGATTGGACAGTAAAAGTTTTATTACCTGATTTCAAAGTTGCTTAACCTCAGAAATAAAACAGTTCGTCGTACGATGCTAATAATAACGAAAATAAAAATATAGGTTATGGTGGAAATTAAAATTGATAAAAATATAATGCTTGAAAATAAAGAAGCATTACGTTATAGTGTAATTTTACCTTTTGTAGTCCTCTATCGAATTGGCAATGATATTCAACTTTGTTTTATTCCTTGAAGTTGTAACGAATAAAATATATTCCTTTATATTATAGTACGTTAGTACAATATTAGTGTCGTGTCGTTTAATTTGTTATAAATATACCAATATACGTTATTGGTTACGAAAGCACGAACATGCAGTTAAACTGTCAACAACGTTTCAAAATAGTTTCGTTGAAATAAAATGTTGAATGCGACACAGAGTACTAAAGGTTACCACTAAAAGTATTGGAAACCTAGTTTGGCTGTTTAACGACCGATGACGCCACAGTGGCATTGTACATATGCTAGTGTCAACTACTACTGCCCGATGACGCCACGCGTGTATCAATTTTATTGACACCAGGTTCCAATCATGTTAAGGTTAATACTCTGCTGTTAGATGCTACTGTAAAAAATGGTTTTCGTGCGTTATTTTGAAAACAATGTAAAAAAATTCGGAAAAAGAATTAGCAGGTATACAGACAGGCTATTTAAAACAAATCATTTAGAATAGACCACGACATACATCAAAGAACTAATTAACTTTAAATGTTACAGATACGAAAATACACCTTTTACAATATCGACTGTTTAATGAGAATTCTATACATGATATATTCCAATGTAAAAAGTTTCAAGAAAATTTCAATCTAAGTCAAAATATATGGACAATAAATAAGCTCAAAAGTAACATAGCAAATTAACTTTTAGGATACATAACCTACATAAAATTACGAAATATGATATTCTTATCAAGATGTTGTGTATTGCTGTCGACACAGAATTTTTTCTATGATTTGTATATTAAATAACGTTACATAATGAGTTATATAATTAGAATTTCATTCAACATAAACAATAGATGTGATACAAATATGTAATAAGAAAACTTGACTCAGATAGAGTGAATGATTTGTTGCTGAATTCGAGGTTTTTATCGTATTGTTGTTTAATGTTTGAAATCTCATTCTTTACTTGCGGTGATTTATAATGCTATTACAAATGCGTCTTTATGGTTGAAAGTGAAAAGTATTACAATAAAATTTATGTAGTCTGAAATGTTATTGGCTAGTTCTTTGAAGGTGCTCCACAAAGTTAAAAGCTATTGTTATGGAGATAATACTATTGTGAGCTTATCCTGTAATATGTACAGGTTAGGTCGATCTTCACAGCATTATGTCTGTCACGTGTGTAGTCCAACATAAGGCATTACCAATGAGACAAAGTATTTGATGGAGAAAATTGTTAAAAAAGCTATCGAATTTGTTGTGTAAGCAAAATAATAAGAAAAATTATATATGTAAACATACAGAAAAATTTACTTAAATCTGTAACCATTAAAAGCGTATAAATTATTACTATGAAGGTTAAGTTTTATTACCTAAAAAAATATAATTATGAAAAAAAAATTGAAATAATTCCTGTAAAACAATTTTTCATTTTATTTTTATTTTATTATCATTTTATTTTCATTTTACTATTATTTTATTTTCATTTCATCATTTTATTTTTATTTAATTCTCTTCCTTACTTAACTTTTGAATTTATAACAAAATTCTCTTAACTTTCCAGGTATCCATTATATATTGTTCACAAGGAAAACTGAAAATTAGAAGAGATGTCTCGCTTATGAATTTAACATAAGTATATAATATGTCGAAAATTATCATTGTTTCGAGTACAGTTAGCAATTAAATAAATTTTTCAGACTTATTGTCTTGATGAAATTAACAGTTAGAACATTGTCTTATTGTAGAAAAGAAATGTATAATAATTATAGAAAATTACAGAAAATTATGGATGATTGTCATAAATTAGACGAATATTGTAGAGGGGATAAGCAGAGTGGATAGAAAATGATACTGTAATAATATCTAATTTATATTTATGATGTCTCAATAATGCAACCTGCTGCGTTTTCTTGGAACACCCTATGTATCTATTTTAAAGTCCAACAGAAACTCATTTTGTTCTTTACCCAGTACCGTTTCCTCATTATAAGGAAATCGAATATAAAAGTTGGGAATCATACAGTTTCGTAACTAGAATACAGTTACCATTGTAATAACTTGGCAGAAAAGTTCCATCAAAGGAAACACCGATTCATATTTATGAGCATTATTAAAAATAATGTATATTTTCTTTCCTGTTTCAATAACGAAGAATCTTATGATAAAATTTATATGTTTCAACTAAATAGTTCTCCAGAAAATATTCTACATATATATATTTTTTATACATCAGCCCTTTTATTTGACAGAATTTTAAAAAATTCGATATCTGGGTTGAAGTATATATGTTGAATCAGTTTCAGAAATTTTTAGATTTACGAAAATAATTCATAAATAATATATACTCTTAAGTATCGAATATAAGTAGTCTTTTAAAAGTAATTTATGTATTTAAATATCTTAGATTGGCAGAAATTATTTTATTTTTTAATTATATCTTATTTCTTAACAGTTCCTCCAGCAGAAAGCAAAAGAAGAAATAAAGGCAGATAAAAGCAAAGCAAACTAAAAATGTTCTTGTATTTTGCAATTATCGAATTATCCAAAATTGTAGTTACTACAGTCTTTATAGCAAGAAATCCTTTGGCTTGTAAAACTTTATTACATTTACAATATTTATATCAGATAAACCTTTAAAGCTAAAGCTGGTAAAGGTATAAGTACAGTTATCCCTCAAACAACACAGTTTTAATTATGGGATTTTTTTTTTAAGCAAACTATAATTAAAACAAACAATGGAAAAAAGATCAAAATCATATAGATATTAAAAAAGAAAAAAATACAAAAAGATATAAATTATACAAAAAGTGCAAGATATTTTCGAAGAGTATAAGTAAAACGTGTAAATAAGGTACACTATAATAAAAATAATAAATAATAAATAAATATGAACGATGATAAATAATAAGAGAAATATTATATATATTATATTTAATTTGTATTTTAATGCTATATGAGTATATTTTTATACTATATACTATATATATGAGTATATTATTATCATTTGTAATGTATCATTTATAATATATTTTCACATCTTTATTTATGATTTTCTACATGTATTATTTTTATATTTATTTTCTATATATTTGTATCATTTGTAATGTATCATTTATGATATATTTTCACATCTTTAGTTATGATTTTCTATATGTATTATTTTTATATTTATTTTCTATATATTTATATTTATTATTTATTATATTTATTTATATTTTGTATATATTTTCTCATCTTTATTTACAATTTTCTTATAACAAAAATAATAAATAATAAATAAATATAAACGATGATAAATAATAAGAGAAATATTATATATATTATATTTATTTTATATTTTAATGCTATATGAGTATACTATATGATTATATTTTTATACTATATACTATATATATACTCATATATATATATATCATTTGTAATGTATTATTTATAATATATTTTCACATCTTTATTTATAATTTTCTGAATAACGTTTCTCTTTCCTCAACCTACTTTGTTTTAAAAATATAGGCCATTTTAAGCACATATCCATATACACGATACATACAATAAAGTTTTAGGTCAACAGTAGCTACGTCTGTAATGAAGATTTGAGAGAGAAGAGGAACGCCAATGTGCGCGGATTTTCAACTACGCGGTACATCAACACCCCAAACTCCTGCATTGTTTGAGAGACAACTGTACTGCACAGAGATGAGAAGATGGTTAAGCAGAGCGGCACAAGAGCAAAGGGAGGTTCTTTGTTTGCTACGTCTGACTCTTTAATGCTTCTGAAATTTCTGCTTTTAGGTCTTTCACAGCACACACTGGCGTAGTGAAATTAATCAAATAATTAACAAATATTTAAAAATTTTTTAAATTTTATTTTAAGTTTATTATTATTAATTCTTAATGACATAATTGCTATAAAAGGAAATTTCATTCATTCTTCAATTTATTATTTAATTGACCAATGAATCGACCAAATAAAGATCACTGTATTAATTAAAACGTAATAATTATTAAACAATAATGAACGTTTTTTGAAATAATTATTTTTAAATTATTACAAGTTCGGTTATGTGCGCGTGACACTTATGTCAACAACGAAAATTTATGCATCCTATTTTTATAATCCTGTTAACTGCTTGCAGTATGATTTAACGTTAAAAAATTATGCATTGCAGACGTATTTATTTCCTTCATGATAACATTATACAAGTTTTAAGAATTTATGCGAATTTTATTCCTAGTGAAGAACGTGTTAGGTGTAATTTTACTCGTACGACGAAAGCAACTCATCTTTGCGTAGTTTGGTATGAAAAACTGACGAGGAGCTAGAGTCGTCATTATAGTGCAAGAAGATAGACCTACACGCCAATCAAGCCTGCATTCCTTCTGCTAGCCTTCTTCTCATCTCTACATAGTATACACCTTGTAGTTACCAGAAGCATGCTTGATCTCAGATATTGCATCTACGAGCTTCATTTTGCCTTCCAATAATATATTTCGTATAACTAATAACAGACTTCGATATATTTAATAATCAGTCTTTCCATATTCATATAATCGTCGTGGCAGTGTATGTTCTTTGATAAAAGTAATAATTTACTCGGTTTAAGGGGTTAAGGCCCTGCAGGTGCGCGAAAGCAGGCTACCCTGCTGAGATGGCAGGGGAGAGCCTTCGCGAACTAACTCCCAAGAGAGCCTTGGTAAAACGACCACAACGCGGGATTAAAATGGGCAACAGAATACTTACCATGTTTTGATGAAACCGCAAACTACCAGATCGACGAAGGGTACCACCGCGGATATTCGCGGCAGCCAGCTCGACCTGACGACCGTCGCTGCCACCTCGTCTTGACAATTCCGACAATTCTGCCACTGGCTGCACCTGTAAACGAAATAGTCGAGTTTAACGTATGTGTCGAGATTCTTATGCTATACACGAATCTCTTAGAAGTCCAACTGATCAATTCCGCTTCTTGCAGATTCTCGTTACCTGTTACCCTATTCTTTCGAAGAAATACGCGAGTCCCATAAAGGGGGATGTTAAAAATGGGGCAACGGGTTTTCTTTGGGATTTTCAAGAGCATCGTCCAAGGAACAAAAAATTCTTGTATCACTTTGTCGAGAAACGATGCGAAAGTTGTCAAAAGTAAGTCGCAATATGTGAAAATGAGACTGATCAAATACAGGATGTCCCAGCAAGGGTGGTAAAACCGAGAAGGGGTGATTCTACGTGAAAAAGCGAATCGAAAATAAAGAATAAAATTTTTTCATTCGAAGCTTCGTTTTCGAAAAAATCAATATTAAATATTCATCGAGTACACGTGCACTTAACTTTGGTTTAAGTGGATATATCAATATCGATAGTACAATCGGGAAGGGATGATTCTACGTGAAAAAGCGAATCGAAAATAAAGAATAAAATTTTTTCATTCGAAGCTTCGTTTTCGAGAAAATCGGCTTTGAATATTGACCGAGTACACGTGCACTTAGCTATAGCTTATATGGATAAACCATCAATACACGAGTATCGGTGATATAATCGGTAGGGGGTGATTCTACGTGAAAAAGCGAATCGAAAATAAAGAATAAAATTTTATCATTCGAAGCTTCATTTTCGAGAAAATCGAGTTTGAATATTCACCGAGTACACGTGCACTTAACTTTGGTTTAGATGGCTAAATCATCTATATATCAGTATCGGTAGCATAATCGGGAAGGGATGATTCTACGTGAAAAAGCGAATCGAAAATAAAGAATAACATTTTTTCATTCGAAGCTTCGTGTTCGAGAAAATCGAGTTTGAATATTTACCGAGTACACGTGCACTTAATTTTGGTTTAAATGGATAGATCATCGATGCATTAATATCGGTAGTATTATAATTGGGAATGTGGTAATTCTACGTGAAAAAGCGAATCGAAAATAAAGAATAAAATTTTTTCATTCGAAGCTTCGTTTTCGAGAAAATCGAGTTTGAATATTCACCGAGTACGCGTGCACTTAGCTATGGCTTATACGGCTAAACCATCAATACACGAGTATCGGTGATATAATCGGTAGAGGCTGATTCTACGTGAAAAAATAAATCGGAAATAAAGAATAAAATTTTTTCATTCGAAGCTCCGTTTTCGAGAAAATCGAGTTTGAATATTCACCGAGTACACGTGCACCTAACTTTAGCTATGGCGGATGGACCCAGTATACCAGCGTACTCGGTGGATAGGGCTGATTCTACGTGAAAAAATAAATCGGAAATAAAGAATAAAATTTTTTCATTCGAAGCTTCGTTTTCGAGAAAATCGGCATTGAATATTCACCAAGTACACGTGCACCTAACTTTAGCTATGGCGGATGGACCCAGTATACCAGCGTACTCGGTGGATATTCAAAGTAGATTTTCTCGAAAAAGAAGCGTCGAATGAGAAAATTTTATTCTTTATTTTCGATTTCTTTTTTCACGTAGAATCATTTTCATATATTTCGACTCATTTTTGACAACTTTCCCATCGTTTCTCGGCAAAGTGATGAAGGTATGTTTTGGTCCTTGGAGGATGCTCTTAAAAGGTCCCGAAGAAACTTTTCTTTTCTCAGCAATGCCAAAAGTGTCCTTTTTCAAACATCCTCCTTTATTTATCTACAGGAGGACACGAGTAATTAGCAAATAATTGTCAACTACTAGGTAAGTCCAATCCTGTGCATATAGTTCAGTGTTTCAGTTTTAGTGCACGAATTAATTTATAATTTAATTAATTGATATAATTTAATTATATCATTTTCTTTCTTCTATTTTTCAGTCCTTCAAGTTGATCAGAATGGCTTTCAAGTTTCCAAGAATGATTATTTTTACTTCGATCTTTAACACGTCCACTACCATTGTTCAAGGCAAGAGTCACCATCCACAGCCTAGCTCTAGCAAAGAGCAAATCGCGTATCAGCGACGGCAAATCTGTAAAGAGCTAGAATAACTAAGGAAAACGTGTTGTAACGCCGGACCAGGTGTAAATCTCATTATTTACGGTATATAGAATCATCTTCAATGCGAGTGGATGAAACTGCGTCAACTTTTTTGTTCAAGATTCAAGCTCAACTTCCATCACAGATGTGACTTTGGGTCCTGGATGGGACTTGGAGCGTCACACGTGTGTGACGTGTCATAGTGAACGTGTTAATATCAAGAACTGCAAGACTACTAGCTCTAATAATTAGATAATTAGATAATTATTAATAATATAATATATTATGTTACTTATGATGGGTTATTCAAAAATTTTCGTCATGTGTTATTTTATGTTAACGTCATTTTGGGTCCTGGATGGGACTTGGAGCGTTACACGTGTATGACGTGTCATAGTAAACGTGTTAACATTAGATTTACGAACACTATCTGTATACCTATTTCTAAGGAAACCTGTCAAATTGACAGGTAAGGAAACCACGTGTCTCTTTTTTGTTAACGATTAGTTCAATTTAAAAACAATTATATATTATATTAACAGTCTTCAACTTAATTTAAGTTAACTAAATTTGTTGTTATCGTATACTTGGAGCAACTCTTCCGTCAAATTGACGGGTTCCGTAAATCTAGTGTTAATATCCAGAATTAAACGATAATTATTAATAATATAATATATTACGTTCTGATAAATTATTCACAAATTTTTGTCATGTGTTATTTTAGGTTAACGTGATTTTGGCTCCTGGATGAGACTTGAAACGTCATAGTGAACGTGTTAATATCAAGAACTATAAGACTACTAGCTCTAATAATTAGATAATCAGATAATTATTAATAATATAATATATTATGTTACTTATGATAGGCTATTCCAAAATTTTCATCACGTGTTATTTTAGGTTAACATGACTCTATATGGGATTGTCGTTCTATTGACTAAAGAATGCATGGTTGTGGCTTGACGTAGTACGGATGAACGCAAAGGTGCAAAGGCCTAGATAGAGGAGTCATAAAACTGGCTGCGCTGTACTTAGAGCGATGTCGATTGGTCGGCACTAAGAGCCGAAGTCCATATAAAAGGGCACGTTTTTTTTCAGGAAGTACGAGTATCCTTCAGTTTCTCTTTTAGAAATCTACCGAGCCACGAAGAACACGTTTAGAACCCTCTGCGTACAGGATTGTCCTTGCCTCGCTGCAAACATAACTTTCCTAGAAGAACTGCATCCTACACCTTTTTACACGCAGTATTACTTTCTTTAACCGTTTGAGTGCTGAAGAATTTTCTTGTACACATGAGCCGTTCACTGCATAAATCGATTAACTCCACTTTTTGACAAATCTCAAATTTGAGTGTCAAATTAATGACTTGGTATAGTCATAATTTCTTAGATTTAAAATTTTTCAAAAAGTGGAGTCGATTTTTGCCATTATTTCAATCCAACCTCACGCTATCTAATTGTTAATCCTTGAAATACCGTTTCGATGGTATTATTACTCATCGGGAAGTACCATATTGCGGACCCCGTACCCCAGGTGAAACACGATGGCACCTTGACGCTTGGTTATCATATACGTCAAGTATCTGGAGTATAGGGCAATAATTCAGTTCGTTTTTCCGTTTGTAACCTCTACCCTTGTACCTCAAATTCGGAAACTCCATCCAATAACAAAATACATAGCCCTACCAAGGGTCCATATAAATGCTAGACCTAATAGCACGCGGCATATAAAAACGCACGATATCGAGATAACGAAACAGTCCACTTGCTATTCGAAGCCAAACACAATCTCCTCAAAGAACCGTCCATCGCGAATCGTCGTCAAGCAAGAATGACCCAGTGACGATATACACTAGTCTTCCACCATTGTCGTCGATTGTAGGAGTCAGGGATAGTTTAGGAAGAGACTAATGTCATTTCTCGTTGCTAATACTATACTTCTGAGGAACAAATGAAAACTGACTTCGTATCACAGTGATGAAAATGGAATGGGAAAAGTTCTTTAAGCTTCGGAGCTTATACTGGCCTAAGTCTGTGCTGATCACAGTATTAAATACTTGACACCGATTCTATCCTAGTGTTTTATCACCGCGTTCCATTCGGTCTCGAAGGTGTTCGCTACCCACCTAGTCTCATACTGCAACGTGATCCTATTTGGAGATGAGACACTCTCAGCCAGTCACCAAACTTTGTGATTATCTCTGTCTATGGTCATGCTAGAGGTAGAGCTATTGCACTGTGGCTAGGCTCACGTTCTTTCCAATTGCCAACTTGCTAACTACGTGCAGTAGTCCCTCGGCCCTATCAGTTGTTTTCGCCGAACACTTATATGAGTTTCTCGGCCAAACTGATGGTTTCCGCCGAACGCATATATGCGGCACTCATATATTAACCCGCAAAGGGTTAAGGGAATTTTGTAATGCTCGAAATAGGTGGAAATCAGAGGACTCGAAGTCTGGTGTATATGGTGGATGGGGTCGAACATCCCAACCGAGCTCCAACGACTTTTGTCGAATTATCAGACACACGAGGCCATGCACTGTCCCGATGAAACACGACGCCCTTTCGATTCGCTACTTCTGAACGTTTTCGTTCAATTGCTGTCTTTAATTCGTCTAATTGGGAACAATACTTCTCCGAATTTATCGTCTCGTTGTTTGGTAAAAGTTCATAATACAGGATCTCTTTCCAATCGCACCAGACACAGAGCATGACCTTCTTTGGATGAAGACCGGCTTTGGGGGTGGTTAAAGGTGGTTCATTCCGCTTTCCCCAAGATCTTTTTCGCTCAACGTTATTATAAACGATCCACTTTTCATTAACTCGTTAACCCTTTGCACTCGGCGACTTTTTCGTTACAGGAAAATAATAATTCGAAGACTTTCTGCCATAAGGTCGACGATATTTTCAAAACGGTAAATAAGAAAT